TTTATTTATTTAGCTTATGTGTGTTGTTCTTGTGTGCATGTATACCTGCCTGAGGATGCCAGATCCTTTAGAACTGGAGTTACAGACAGTTGTGAGCTGCCATGTGGGTGCTGGAAATTGAACTCGGGGTCTCTGGAAGAGCAGTCAGTGCTCTTAACCACTGAGCCATATCTCCAGCCCCTTGCAAGCCATTTTCAAGTGGATAATTAATTCATGGTGACATTTAGTGCACTTACTATGCTACCCAATTACAAAACATTCCTTTCTTTCCTTTGTTTGTTGGGGCAGGGTTTCTCTGTGTAGCCCTGGCTGAACTCTAAGTAGCCATATACTGGAGGATGGCCTTGAACTCCAGATCTGCTACCTCAACTTCTATAGTTGCTGAATTTTTTTGCCTTTCACCCCAGGCCTGGGTTTTTTTCATTAACTGTTAATGAGGTAATCATTTATGATGAGTGTCAGATCCCAGGAAACAAACCCCTCATCATTGTAACTAACAGAAAAAAAGATCCTAAGGGAGGTACACCATTCCCCAGAGAGAGTTGATTACTGAAAACTCATTCATTAATTTCCCTCAGTAATTTCCCAGAGATCCTCTAGGGGGCGACATCACCCCCTAGAGAAGACGATGAATCTATCTCTACCTGGCACCTTCTTGCTAACAGCTGGGTTTCATTATAAAAGAGGGAAAGAGTGATTGGATTGCATGCAGCAGGGCCAAGTCAGCGTAACCTCTCTCTCTCCTCCTGTACTATTTTTTTGGTGGAGGGTTTCCAAGATGGCTTCTCTGTAGCCCTGGCTGTCCTGGAACTCACTCTAGAGTTAGAGTGCTTCCTTGGCACACAAGAAGTTCTATGTTTGGTCCCCTAGATAGGATGGTGCCTGCCTGCAATCCCAGCACCCTGGAAGTGAAGACAGCAGGATCAGAATTTCAAGGTCATCCCTCACTATATAGGAAGTTGAAGGCTAGCCTGAGCTATTATAAGACTGTCAAAAAAGAGAGAAGGAAAGGGAGGGAGCAAGAAAGAGAGAGAGAATGTATGTGTGTGTGTGTGAGAGAGAGACAGAGGACAATTTCCCTGAGTCAGTTATTTCTTTCTACCACGCATGGCCCAGCTGATCCTGGCTGACCTGGAACTAAGGTCCTCAGACTTAGCAGCAAGTGCTTTGTCTGCTGAACCAATTCACTGGCTGCTTTCTCTCTAGACAGAGCTATGTAGGCCAGTCTGGCCTTTAACTCATGATCCTGATGCTCTAAACTCCCAAGTACTGGGATTGTAGGACCGTCCACTAAAACCAAGTTGTTCTGTGTCTTGCATTGATGGGGGTGGGAGGAACCTTCCTGGGGTGGCGAAGGAATGAAGACACACAAATACAGAGAAAGGTTGGATTGGGCAGGCGGTGCTCTCTGAAGGAGAAACCTCAGCACCCTGGAAGTTCAGTGTCTGTATTATATACAGACATCAATGCATAGAGCTGAATGAAAAGGCACTGTGTACGGTGTCACATGGTTTATGATTGCTGTAAAGAGACACCATGACTACTTAGTTTTTTTTTTTTTTTTTTTTTTTTTTTTTTTTTTTGAGACAGGGTTTCTCTGTGTAGCTTTGTCTGTCCTGGAACTTGCTCTGTAGACCAGGCTGGCTTTGAACTCACAGAGATCCTCCTGCCTCTGCCTCCCTAGTGCTGGGATTAAAGGCGTGCACCACTATTACCCAGTTTATTGTTTTTTGTTTTAGATTGTTTTCCTTGTTTTATGGGAGTTGTTTTGAGATAGGATCTTACTCTGTAGTTTATGTTGTCTTGGAACTTACTTTGTAGCCCAGTTTGCAACAAATCCAAGTTATCCTCCTGTCTCAGCCTAAGAAGTGCTGGGATTCCAGGTGCAAACTACCATGGCCAGTTTATAAAGAATTTTTTTTATATATATAATTTAGTTATGAGCATGTCAAAAGATCTGCTCTTAGGGACATTGTATATAAGAGAAGAGCTAATAGAAACACTCTGAAGGGGGGTGTTGTCTCTGTGAGTTTAAGGTCACCCAGGTCTACATAGCAAGACCCCGTTGAGAAAGATCCAGGTGGGGGGAGGGAGGGAGAGCAATAGAAAGATAAGAAACAGCTCCTATGCCTGGCTTCTCTAATCACAGCAGGGAGGCAGAGGCTGCCAGAGCTCTGTGAGTTCAAGGCCAGCCTGGTCTACAGAGCCAGCTCCAGGACAGGCTCCAAAGCTACACAGAGAAACCCAGTCTCAAAAAACAAAACAAAACAAAACAAAACAAAACAAAACAAAACAAAAGATAGACATAGCAAGCTGGGTGGTAGTGGCACATGCCTTTAATCCTAGCACTCAGGAGGCAGAGGCAGGAGGATCTCTGTGAGTTCGAGACCAGCCTGGTCTACAAGAGCTAATTGCAGGACAGCCTCCAAAGAATCCTGTCTCAACAAAACAACAAAACATAAAAAAAGAAGAAAAGAAAGACAGACAGAGCATCTATTAGATGAGGAATTAGGCCTGGGTATCTCAGAAATTTGTATAGAAAGTACAAGGTTTGGGATTGTACCCAAAGAAATTAGATTAGGGATCGAATCCCAACATATACTTTGGTTAAAGAACAGAAGGCTTCTTAGCAAGCAGTCTCAAATGGGTGCCTCATTAGTTTTTCAGAACTAAATTTTTTTTTCTTTCCTTTTTTTTCCCCCTGTCCGATTCAAGGTTTCTCTATATTGCTTCAGAGCCTGTCCTGGAACTAGCTCTGTTAATCAGGCTGGCCTCAAACTCACAGAGATCCGCCTGCCCCTTCCTCCCGAGTGCGGGGATTAAAGGCGTGTGCCTCCACTGCAGAGCCAGATCTAAATTTTAAGTCACCACCAACTCTAAGGTGCATCTCAGGTGACTTATTAATTTTGTTTGTTTTCTTTCATCACAAGGCCCCTGCTTCGTACACATTTCTCTGCTTTGAGAACGACCCAATGTGATACCTGCCTCTTCGCGGGGTGAAAAGAGCTACTTCCTCCCTTTGGAGCTTCCTCTTCTTCCTTGTCCCTGCCTGTACCCGATCTTCCTTCCCTTAAGTCTTGTTTCCACTTTCCCTCCCTCAAAGGCAATTTCCATTACTACGTTCCACGGTGATGTTGCACCGTCTTTTGTCACAGAAACTGGCATTGTAGAGAGAGCTCATGAAAACGTAGCAAATCGGATTGAACAACTTAAACTTCTCAATTACTTAGTGTGTGACCCCGCGCCTGAGGTTAGATAGAGCGCGTGGGATCGGAGTCGTTTCTCTCCTCCCACTCTGCGGGTCAGGATGACCTTGAATTTCTCATCAGTCCGGGGCCATGCAATCGGTTCTACCCTGTGCTGGGGATGAAGCCTTGGGTTTCACGTATGCTTGCTTAGAGCCAAGCACCGCCAACTGAGAGAGCCTTTTCCCCAGATCCCGGTCCCAAACCTATGATTTAAGCCAACAGGGCCCGCAGACTTCGGCTTCAATCTCCATCTACAGACCAGGGGTATCAACCAGGGAAGGTAGTGAAGGTCAAAAGATTCCGTCGGTGGCTTAAAGAACCTAGGTTTCCACTACGCCCTCACAACCAGTCCCCGCCCTTCTCGCCCCCAGGGATGACGTCACCGGCAGAGTTATGTAGTGACGTCATCTCCGGGCCGCCTCTGCTCCAGCCCCTCTTCGGAAACGTCCGACTCCTGGGACCGGTCTCCGGCTTTCGGTTAAATTTTTTTCCCTTCCATTCTCCCACCCCAAACTTCTGGCTCTTCCCGCCTTCCTTCAAACTAGCAGTTTTCGGCTCCTCTCGCTTGCTCTGGGGCGAGCCCCTGAAAGTCATTTACTCTTGCGTTAATTAATCGCCCTCCCGGCCCCACCCGTTCGTTCGGCTCATGCGCTTAATCCCTATTCGCTCGGCTCGGTTTTATCTCAGCTACTTCCGCCTCTCGCCGCCATCCCTCCATCGGCTTCGGCTCTTTCCGGATTATCTCAGGGTCCTCGGGTGTCTCCAATTCCCGAAGCGCTTCGGCGACTTCCGGCTGTCCTCTAGGCCCCGCCCCCACGACCACCCTCGGTCGATTCTTTAGGTGGGTCTTCGATCCGCTCGCTTCACGTTCCTTCAGTGACCCTAGCCCTTCCTGCTTCGGCTCTTTCCGGCTGGCCGCAGGCCCTCGGGTTCTTCTCGGCGGCAGTTCGGCTCTTTCCGTCTCCCCACCGCCTCGCCCTTCCGCTTCGGTCCTTTCCGCCTCCTTTCGGCCGGGCGGGCCGCTGCCTGTCTCCCACGTGACGCTCACTCGGCCTCTCAGTTAGCCACCCCCTCCCTCCCCGTCCCTCCCCGCCCTTCCTCCAGCTCCGGCCTCCGCGCTCGTCCCGGCTGGGCCGCCATTTTGTGTGAATCCCTGACCGCGGCGGGGGCCGGGCAGCTGGGGCGGGACAGACAGTCGGCCCATCTGCATCTCCGCGGCCCGCCCGCCCGTTCCCTCTCCTCCCTACGTTCTTCTTTTTTTTTTTTTTAGCCGTCCCCTCGCTCGCTCTCCTCCCCCCTCCCCTTCCCCTTCGCTTGCTCCGTGGCGCGCGGCCCGCGCTAATTACACCCAACCAGCCACCAGTGTCCGTGCCCCCCGGGTCCCCGGCCTCGGGGCCCGCGTGTGTGTGCGTGCGTGCGCCTGTGCGTGTGCGTGTCCGGAGGGGCCCTGGCGCCCCGATGAGGGCCCCGCGCCCGTGAGCGAGTGGCCGCAGGGGCGGCCGGGGCCTAGGCCGCGCGGCCTGCGTGGAAGCCGGCTCAGAGGTGATTCCGAAACCGAAAACTCGGAAAAATCATAAGAGGGGAGGAAAAAAAAAAAGGAAAAGGAAAAGGAAAGCTCCGCGTAGCGAGCAGCAGACAGGCAGACCGATGTGTGCCCCGCTCCCACCAGGAGCCAGGGAGGGCTGAAGTGTGCCCCTCCCGCCACGCCCAAGCAGTCCTCTTCCGTGCATTAACACCCCCTCCCCCTCAAAGGAACGATGGAGGCCGCGCCCGGGACCCCCCCGCCGCCGCCATCAGAGTCGCCGCCGCCGCCGTCGCCGCCGCCGTCGCCGCCGCCGCCAGCAACGCCTTCGCCGCCTCCGTGTGCCCCCGACGGCCGCGCGGCCACCCCGCACCTCCTCCACCACCGCCTCCCGCTCCCTGACGACAGGTCAGGCCCCCCGGCCTGGGCCGGGCAGCGTCCCCCGGGGAGGGGGGAGGAGGAGGAGGCAGGGGACGGCCGCCATGTTGGGCCGGGCGGCGGCGGCGGCGGCGGCGGAGGAGGAGGAGGAAGGGCGGGGTCGGTGGGTGTCGCTCGCCCGCCCGCCCGCTCGCTCTTTCTCGCTTGGCTTTCTCTCCCGGCCTCATGCGTTGCCCCCCCTCGCGGCGTTCGCCCGCTCTCCCTCGCTCTCGCTCTGTCTTTTTTTGGGCGCCATGCTGAGGGGAAGGTGAGGAGGCGCCCCCCGGACCCCCCGCGCCCGCCGATCTGTCCGCCCGCACGCCCGCCCGCCCGCCCGCACGCCCGCGGCTCGGGCCGCCAAGGGGGTGGGCTTGCCGAGGCCCAGCGGGCTCCCCGGCCGCCCCTGCTCCCGGGGCTGGCCGTCAGCGGCCCGGCCGCCGCCCGGCCTCGGGGCAGGCTCCGGGGGAGGGGCCCCGGAGTCTCTCGTTTGAGGGGGGGACCTCCAGCCTACAGTGCCCGCTCCTAGGGGTTCGGCGTCGGGGGCCTACCCAGTCCCTGACAGTATCCTTTCTCCTGGGGGAGGTGCTCCCGGCCCACTTTGGATAGGGACCCGAGTCTGACGGAGGCAGAATGTGGGGTGGCGATTCAGCCTTTGCTCCATCCTTCTGTGAAGGGCCCCTTAGAATGGGGGCCCTTGTGCACTTAGTCTCTTTATTTTTGTTTTTTGGCGGGAGGTATTTTCTAGTTACTCCCTAGAAGGCAGGGAAGGGGCGCGTCTCCAGGTCTTTTGGTGAAAGCTCCTGACCTTTTTTGGGAACCTAGCCTTCTCACGGAACTCTGCTTTTGTAGATAGGTGATAGTGGTGGAGAGTCCTTAGTCCTACTTGTTTTTTTTTTTTTTTTTTTTCTCTCGTGGGGGGGTTGTCGTTGAAGGTTGCTTTCCTAGCAGCGGATGAGAGAGGAAGTTGGCCACCGATTTCCCCTGGGCATCTCCCCTCTTAGGGTAAAATGGGGTGCGATTGCCCGTACGGGAGCAAAGGAGACAGATCTCTTGTACTTTGGCAGGACGTGAACTGTGGCGCCCCTTGTCCTTTATTAAGTGCGAAGTGGGTCCCCCCCACGCCCTTCTCTGGCGGATGATAATGGGGACAGCCTCGCGCCTTTTCAGGATGAGGCTTGGAGCCCTTTTTGGCCCTGCTAGAGCATGAGGGTATGGGATACAGGGATACAGGGTTTACAGACTCCTGAGGACTTGAGTGAGTAGGTTTGAAAATAGATGGGGTTTAGTGGGCAGGAAAGCGAGTCTTGCAGGCAGTGGGGGTGGGGTGGGGTAGGGCGAGAATGCGCTGGACAGATGGCTCGAAGCCGCCTGGGGAAATCGCAGAGCACCCCTCCAGACAAGGGTCTCGGCCCTTTATCTCCTCTCCCACGTCCTGTTTTCTTTCCCTTTCTCCTTCACAGACCCTCCTTTGCCTTTTAAAAGAAATGGCACCCACATTCAAAGACACAGGTGCAGCAGTGTGGTGAGCTTCTTACATTTTTTTTTTTCCTGTTTTGTTCTAATTAAATGTATCGTCCTGGGAATCGCAGCCCTTCGCAGCCAGACTACAGTTCAAGGAAATAAACAGATTAGCGGAGGTCTGTTCGCTAAGCCTACGTTGGGCTTCCAGGCCCTCTCGGGGGCAGGTGCCTTAACTCAAAGGTGCTTACGAGCTTTATCCGACCTCTAAGGAGTTCTCTTATGTCAGAAGTGTATGTCTTACAATGGGTTGGGATGGTAAGTAGCCTCTTTTATTGAGTAATTCAATTATCTCCCTCTTTTAGTCCCTTTCCTGCCTGCTTCCTCCTTCGCCTTTAGACCAGAGTGATGCTTGAGAGTGGATTTATTATGTTCAAATCAGGATTCTAACCCTATTGAGCCCTTTTAGTTTGCACATCCTTTCAGTGTTTAATTTTTAAAAATTGATGTACACAGTTTTCTTTAAAAAAAAAAAAAAGTGTTACTGTAACATGACAAAACCATGGGAAAGGCCCGGTATGTTTTCAGACCCTTGGTCTCCTCTTTCTGGATCCATCCATTGCTTTGTCTCCAGCCTTCATGTGAAAGTGGCTACTTCAAGTGCAGGAGACAAGCTTACTGTTTTGGTTTATACTTGTATTCAAGTTAAAGTCACATCCCATGCCCCCGTCCCACTCCCCCCCCCCCCCCAGAAAAGACTGTTCCAAGCAGGTCCAGTTTCCTTATTTTACCTGAATGTTTCTTACGGTAATAGACATTTAAATTGCAAGTCATTTGCAAAGTACTGTCTAAGCACAAAATGTATCTGTAAAACCGTGTCAAGCCCTGATCTCTCCTGTCGCCACTGCTCTTTGTTTGAAAGCACATGCCTGACCGTGAAAAGTTGGTGTAAAACGTGTTGCACGCACAGTCATGTTGGAGAGAACACCTCCCATCCTCAGTGCCCCCTCATACACGTACAAGTTAAAAAGAAACAACCACAGCAGCAGCAGCAGTGACTTGCAGGACCTGATACTGTCCTTCCAATGTGTTTTACAAGCATCAGTTCTTGTGTTAAAGACATGTTGACGTTCCATTGTTCCCCCGGCCCACTTTTGGTTCCTGTTAGGAAACCCTTTCTCACACATGAGTCTAGTCCCTTCCAAAGGAGCCTGTTTCCCTCTGCGCTCTCAGGAGAAATTCCCACCTGCACTTGAGGACCATGTAAGCTGTAGTTTGTCAGGCCACTAGTCTCACGCCTTTTAATGCTTCACCTGCCACGTACGGTGGCCTGATGTAAAGTCAGTTATTTGAGGAAGAAGTTTCCATAACAAAGTATTCCTGCACAAAATGTCTAAAGCACGAACTCATCACACTGTCCAGTGCGCTGGGTCAGCTGGAAAAACATTTGAAGGTTCCCCATCTTGTGTAAAATTCCTCCTCCAGGAGCTCAGAGCAGAAACTAGACACCAACCGATAACCCATTCCACGTGTTTAGGAGAACTTAAGTTGTAGAAGGACATTTAAACTTTAAAAATAAAATGTTAGAAGGAAATGGGATTCCTTTTGAAAATGAAGATTTTTAGCAGTCATTTTTGTTGAACTTGAAAATGTTTCCTCCAAACATTTTAAAAAGCGCTTAGGCATGTCCACACAAGGGTTTGTTGTTTTCTGTTTTTGTTTTGTTGGCAAAGGAGCCCCTGATATTAAGTCAACTGCCTTTAGCTATTCCTTATTTTTGAAATGTCACAGTAGTACCTTTTTTTTTTAATGCCCCAAACTGATGTACCACTATTAGTTAATAAATTAATGGATGTTGCAAAAGCAAAAAAAAAAAAAAAGAAAAAAAAAAGAAAAAAGGGTGTCACTTGGAATCCCTGATTTTAACAGCAAAGCTTATATACTTTGTAACCTTGGAAGTTTTTGTTTCCTCTGGATGAAAAGTTTAATTGGAAAGCAAGTCAAAAATCTCCCAGTAGGAGCACAATGGGCTTTGACCATGACAATGCAGATGCTCCGAATCAGAGCTGCTCCCCTCCCCCGTTCTCCAGTTTAGTCCTCCCAAGAGAAAATGACTCCCAAGTCAGGGGCTTTCTGACTCCTAGCCTTATCTTCTAGGGCTTTCCTTCATTTGCTATAAGGTTTAGATCTTTGATTCTTGACAAGACAGAATTTTTGGGAAGTAAAGGTAGTTAGCTGTTTCAGAAAATCATCCATGTGTTTTTTCCTTATTCAAGACGACCTATCCTGAGGGGAAATTGTTTGGGAAGGAAGGCTACCCTGACTGTTCTGCCTGGCAAGTGAGAGGTGAATTATGTGGCTCCTGTGTTTTCATATAGCTGAATTTTAGGACAGGTTCCTAGGCTCTGGCACTGCCTCCTCCCCTGCCCATCCATTGCTCTTCAGTCTTGCTTTCGAGCTGTCCTCCTCCCCTGCCCATCCATTGCTCTTCAGTCTTGCTTTCGAGCTGTCTCAGAACCACCTCAGGTCTTCACTGGTCTATAGCTGTGGCTTCCCTAGAAACCTTTTTCTTGGAGGTGAGGATTAGGGATGTATTTCCAGTGAATCCTTCAGCTGAAGTCCCTGATTAAACTGTCTCCAGGTCTCTGTGGATAGCTATCCAAATTCAGGGAACCAGATGTCCCCGTGGACAGAGTCTTTCTTACAGTAGCACCAGAGTGACTGGTTCTGCCCTGCTGTGGGATCGTAAGTGATGTGGCTTGAGTTGAGCCAGGTCCTTGGCCACTGCTGGGATGCACCACCAGGATGAGAGGGGACAGGAAGGCTGCAGCAGATGTTCTGGCTGTTACTTGCTGAGTGCTTTGAGGACTTAAAGGAGCAGCTCGCTCATTGGCAGAGGGAATGGAGGAAATGGTCTGGAGTCGGTTACATAATTAAGGCCTCATAGGCCGTGGCAAGCTGCCTGTTTGGATAAGTTAAGGCAAAAAATGAACTTGCCCAAGCTCTGGTGTTCTTGGTTTTGAAGCCTCATCTGCTACAAAGCTCTGCTGTGTCTGTGAATGCTCTGGACACAGGGTTAGACCCAGTGCAGCATTTGTGTTGTGATAGTGCTGTGTGGTGAGGTGGGGTGGTAGGGTTCAAAGTCAACTTCAGGCACTCTGTCCACTGCGGTGATTCTGGAGCTGGTGTGACAAATGAAGACAGGGCCTCTTGGTTGGTGCTGGTTACAGGTACATCATCATAGAGGGTTTTTCATTGGCAGGGTGGAAGTTGTCTGCTAAGAGCAGCCTGTTTCTCCGAGTCAGATTGCTCCCCCTGACCTGTACTGAGTTCCCTGCTTCGGCTGTTTGTCAGGCGGGGTGTGAAGGGAGAGTGTGGGTTTTGGAAGCCCCCACTGTTGTTCAGGGCTGGTGCCCACTTCTCAGGGTCACCACACACAGTGGCTCTGCTCAGTGCCTCTTTCCTTCCCAGGAGGAAATTCTAAATAGAACACTGGCAGCCCTGTGTGTAAATAGAAGCAGGGTGTGTAGGAC